TGTTCTTATCTCAACCCGTGGGAGTTGCAGTCCTTTTTTGATTCTCCTCTCCGTTCCCTCAGGAGTAGGGGGAGGGGAAGAAGGGGGGGGAGTGGGTAACAAGCTGTCTGGCTGTGGGTTAAACCACGACAATCTCACAAAAGAGAAAAGTTAATGGAAAAAGTGTCAGCAAAAGGCTTAGAAAGATAACTTCTATCAAAGAGGTACTGTGGCACGTTACAGAGGTAAGGACTCTGGCCAGCCTTTCTTCTGCACGGGCTTTTTTCTGGCATGTTTACTGAAAAAGTCTCACAGAACTCTTTGTTTCCATATTCCCTTAGAAGTACAGATTCAAATATTCCACCTAGGAAAGCACTCTTATCTGGGGACATGAATGTGTTTAAAGAACGAACAAAAACCTTTCAGTGTACACTGTTAACAGTTTCAATACTGTACAACACATCTGCATGTGGTTTTCAAGTGAGTATCAGTACCTCTGTAAGACACCTGTATTCATGAGATATGAACACTGACAATTTCACAGAATCATAGAACAGTTAAGGTTGGAAAGGACCATAAGATCATCAAGTTCCAACCCCCCTGCCATGGGCAGGGACACCTCACACTAAACTATGCCACCCAAGGCTCTGTTCAACCTGGCCTTGAAAACCGCCAGGGATGGAGCATTCACAACTTCCCTGGGCAATCCATTCCAGTGCCTCACCACTCTAACAGGAAAGAATTTCTTCCTTATATCCAATCTAAACTTCCCCCGTTTAAGTTCTAACCCATTACTCCTTCTCCTATCATTACAGTCCCTAATTAAGGGTCCATCCCCAGCATCCCTATAGTTCCCCTTCAGATACTGGAAGGCTGCTATGAGGTCTCCATGCAGCCTTTTCCTCTCCAGGCTGAACAGCCTCAACTTTCTCAGCCTATCTTCATCCAGGAGGTGCTCCAGTCCCCTGATCATCCTCATATCCCTCCTCTGGACTTGTTCCAACAGATCCATGTCCTTTTTATGTTGAGGGCACCAGAACTGTACACAATACTCCAGGTGAGGTCTCACAAGAGCAGAGTAGAGGAGCAGGATCACCTCCTTCGACCTGCTGGTCACACTCCTTTTGATGCAGCCCAGGATACGGTTGGCTTTCTGGGCTGTGAACACACACTGAAGTCAGCTCATGTTAAGTTTCTCATTGACCAGCACCCCCAAGTCCTTCTCTGCAGGGCTGCTCTGAATCTCTTCTCTGCCCAACCTGTAGCTGTGCCTGGGATTGCTCCGACCCAGGTACAGGACCTTGCACTTGGCATGGTTAAACTTCATGAGGTTGGCATCAGCCCACCTCACAAGCGTGTCAAGGTCCCTCTGGATGGCATTCCTTCCCTCCAGCATATCAACCGAACCACACAGCTTGGTGTCATCAGCAAACCTGCTGAGGGCGCACTCAATCCCACTGTCCATTTCAGCGACGAAGGTGTTAAACAAGACACTCGTTACTGGTCTCAGGCCGGACATTGAGCCATTGACCACATCAATTTGTGTGCGGCTATCCAGCCAGTTCTTTATCCACTGAGTGGTCCATTGATCAAATTGATGTCTCTCCAATTTAGAGACAAGGATGTCGTGTGGGACAGTGTCGAACACTTTGCACAAGTCCAGGTAGATGACATCAACTGCTCTACCCCTGTCCATCAGTTCTGGCCCCATCATAGAAAGCCACCAAACTGGTCAGGCAGGATTTCCCTTTAGTAAAGCCATGCTGGCTGTCACCAAGCACCTTGTTGTTTTTCATGTGCCTTAGCATGCCTTCCAGGAGAATCTGCTCCAAGATTTTGCCAGGCACAGAGGTGGGATTGACTGGTCTGTAATTCCCCGGGTCACCCATTTTCCCCTTCTTGAAAATGGGGGTTATATTTCCCTTTTTTCCAGTTGTTGAGAACTTCACCCGACTGCCATGGTTTTTCAGATAAGATGTACAGTGGCATAGCAACTTCACTCACCAGCTCCTTCAGGACCTGCAGACGGATTTCACCAGGTCCCATGGACTTGTGCACGCTCAGGTTCTTAAGACAACCTCAAACCAGTTCCTCTCCTAAAATTTCCACGTATTCTGCTTTGACAAGACAGAGCCAAGTACATCAATAGGATCAATTCATTTTATAGCACTTCCTATAACTCAAAATATGCTTTTTCTGATAATACTGGTATTAAAATCTAGAATTCAAAAAGAAAAAAATCTAACAGTACACAAAGAAAAGCTCCCTGAGGAGCATCCAGTATCACACACACAACTGATGTCAACTGACACAAACCAAACTGAAAACAAATCCTGTGCCTATAAAATTGTCACCAGTTGTCCAATTAAAACATTCTTTCCCAAATCAAAGCACATCACATGAAAACTCAAGAAAATGTGAGAATAAAAAATAAAATCCAACCTCAGCAGAAATCTGTTTTTTCTAGAGGTTGTCAGTTATGAAGTGAAAAATATCTTTCAGCATTCCCCAAGTGTCTTTACTGCTTTTACTTTAAATATAAACATGATTAATTTTTATACCAAACATATATTAATTTTAACTATCATGTATCATCACTAGGATTCATCGTTTTAGTGCAGCTCTTATACAGAGCAGACGTGCCTAAGGTTAGCTAAGGGATTTTTCCAAGACTGCTCAGCTGGTAGATGTTGATTGTGTAAACATGTAAGTAACTGATATGGCTTAGTATTAAGAAAGAAGAAGGTGCAAAATCTCACTTGCAGCATTTCAACAATAAATTAACAAAGCCTGACTTCCCCATCAGATGCAACACGGATTGTCCTTGGTAAAGTTACAAAATACTGATGCATCCAGAAAGAGTCTGGATGCAAGATGCAGGTAATTAGATATGAATAAAACAACTTTTCAATCCTATACTTCATCTGAGCGTCAACATCCTCTGTAAAATGAAAATCTATCACCTTTATCATAGAATTATAGAACAGTTTGGGTTGGAAAGGATCTTGAGATCATTTAGTTCCAACCCCCCTGCCATGGGCAGGGACACCTCCACACTAGACCATGTTGCCCAAGGCTCTGTCCAGCCTGGCCTTGGACACTGCCAGGGATGGAGCATTTACCACTTCTTCAGGAACCTGTTCTAATGCCTCACCACCCTCACAGTAAAGAACTTCTTCCTTACATCTAACCTGAACTTCCCCTATTTAAGTTTGAACCCATTACCTTTTGTCCTGTCGCTACAGTCAAGCTCTTGCAAGCATGCTGCATTACAGGAAGAGCAAAACAGAATGTTAGACACCACCACATTCAGTGGTACCAAAATTAGTCTCCTTTTCCTTAAGGACCTTGAGATTTGCCTATTCAAATATAGGACCGAGGCCATCCCTTCAATTCTTTTCTGGCCAGCCTTATATAATACTGGGATTATTCCGTATTGACTCCTTGGAATTTAGTACGCTGCATTTATATTAAACAATACTTTTTATAAAGTAGCATCAATGAACATGCAAACAATTTACTCTATTTCTGTATCACCAACTGATACATACGTATTTAAAAAAATTAATATGTACAATTTCTATGTGCGTGTGCCCACAAATACCTCAGTTTATAGATCAATTGTAACACTGAAATGCTGTAGTTTCCATTACAGATTTTATTCAGAAACTAAATTATTTATTGTGTCAACTACAATTGAAGCTTATTGTTACGCAGATGTATTACAACTTCCAAGTTTCTCCCCTGAACTGCAAGCCTTCTTTTTAATATCTGTGTATTCACAACAAAACTGCTGTCTTCTGTGTGGGTGGTAATGACTAATGTAAAAGGACTGCTTTCACCCTATGACGAATAACCATCTAAGTCCTTAAACAGATGCAAAAGTTAAAATATTAGCATGCAGATAATATTCTCACCAAGCAATTTCCTAATACTATCAACGAGATTTACTGGGTCACTCACCCCTTTGTGGCACTTCAATAAAATAGGTCCCCTACTAGCACTGTGTCTTAAACATAATACACCACATTAAGACTGTTATATCTGAAAAGTTGTGCCTGTGCAACTCTTTGCACAGGAGTATTTCATACTAGAGCAAAGAGGATTCAGACCCTCGCATCCAGAGCCTACCTCAAAAGGCACAGCAGCATTCAGTAGACAAATCAGTTATAAGAATATTCATAACACATGTTACAGACATAATATTTAACACATAGAAGAATCACACTATATAAGGGCACTGATGAGGAACTTCACCTATTCTCTGGCCCATAGTCTTAAGAAAACTGGCTTCAGCAGGGAGATCTAAACGCAACAGAGTTGAAAAAGGTAAACCCCTGGTTTTTAAAACATGCAGTTCACTATTAAAACAGTATAAACACCTAAAAAAAGGCTGGAAACTACAAATATAAACTGTAAATTCATTCTTTCTAGATAAATATGCTGCTCACGTAGCTTTCCCAGCTTAAAACCAAATTCTGATCTGTAGACTAATACCGTTGCCTAGTACAGAGATACCCTCCCCTGCATGAAGAATATAAACTATCACAATAATGTGTTGCGTACACAATATTCCCCAATTCCAAATGAAACAAAGCTTGTTATTTTCTTTGGAGAAGATCTCTCACCAATACAATCCTGCAGATAGCTGATGGCTGTAGTATACTTATATAAGCAAAATAAACAAACTTTTACCTAAAACACTTTTCCTACAGTACACGTTTGAAGTACCTTAACCCCAACTCCCAATGTTAACTACAAACAGCTACATAAATGAAATAACAAATAGGTAGGGGCTTCCAAGTGCCTTCAAATTTTTACAATGACAAATAGTTTTATTTAGTTAAGAAGCAGGCAAATGGGTGAAGTTTCCTAAGTCATTCTGAGCAAGTCACAAACTGAACAGAGAGACCCATTTTATCATCTGTTCAATTTAAAATCATCACGTTTATTTAACAATAAAATTGATTTTATTTTGAGGAACTGGGAGAATTCTTTAGATACACAACGTTAGTACTTACGGGTAAAATGACTAGAAGTGGATGGATTGACACTATCACCACTGTCAGCACTTTCACTGCTAGAAATGTCATCATCTGATTCCCGCACAGAGGAACAGGGTGAGGAGCCATCAACTTCTTCAAACTTCCTCTTTAAAATTCCACTCATTGCTGCAATGCTGTCACATGCACCTGTAACAGGAACAGAGGCAATGAGGCACTGAAATTTCCAACTGCAGAACATGCAGTCATAACCTCCAAAGTCATTTTTACTTAGAAGTATCAGTAAGTCGCCACTTGTAGTCTTGAATAACCGTTCAGTATGAAATTAGATATAATTTATTAGGAGACAGTGAAGCCATAGAGAATAAAAAAAAACTGCCATCATGAGTCATACTCTAACCTGACGTGTGGAAATGGTTATTTTGCTAGAATAATGTGTAACAGATTGCTTTCAGGGAGTATTTTCCCCATTTTGATGTCAACAGTACACCTGATTTCTAGGTTATGTTGCAAAATTTCAAACAAGATAAAAGTGGAAACTTCTCTTCAAATATCCTCACTTGGTCCCTGTCTTGGATGCCAGAGGAGGAAGGAATGTTCACAAACAGGGATGAAATTAAATAAGAAGAAATTATCCTTTACGCCACAGTTGCCATTGCCAATATATGTCATCCTATCAGTGTTCACATCACCCCTATAAGAACTCCATTTGATAATTCCAATTTACAGACAGATAAAAGACAATGAAGTCACAATGACCATATACCAATGTAGTCCTCAATAAATGCCCATAATTCAGAAATTCCCCACTCTAGTTAGACATACCAATTGCCTCTCAAATTCTCTCCTTCCCACATTAAGAAATGAGATGCCTAATATATTCCTGAGGTTGAGCAAAAGACTATAAAGCATGCAAGCAGAAATTTAGCAGCAGAGTTAGAAATAAAACATGCACTGCATGTAACTAAAGAGAAAGTGTACCCTTAACTAACAGGAGAGATCAAGAACAGCTGGGGAGTGCTCTGAGGACACGCAGTTGCCACCACAGCACCCACAGCACTGCAGAGGCAACCAGTCCTGACCAAAAAGTCTGTCTAGGATTGAGGACACGCTAGACTTGCTGAGGAGGACACACAGCCTCGTGCTATGGACTTACCACAGGGGTCTGCCAAATCCCACTGAAAGCAAGGGAAAAAAAAAAAAGAATAAAGAAATTTGCATTCCTCACTGAAACAGGACTTTTTTAATCCTTGCAGCCATTTTTAGGATTCATTAACTCCAAGCCAGCTGCATTCTGCTCCATCCAGGAAGCTGGACTAGGTAACTTCCAAAGCCCCTTTCCGACAAACATTTCCCCAGTTATACATTTTAAAAAATCAGTAAATCTGTCAGGAAGCAAACACATGCTGGCTAAATGACTACGAGTAAAGAAGACAAGGCTATAAGGCAGAGACTCCAGTACTGCCCATACTGTTTAACAATTAACACATTTCAGAGTTTTGGCTCAGGCCACCTCGCACTCTCCTGGATAACGCAGGATGAAGCAGGTGCCAGAACTGTTCCCAGCAGGCAGGCTGGATGAGAACACCCAGCTCTTGGCAGAGGGTTGACAGCTTAGCCATGGTGGACAAGAACTGTACCCTGCCACCTGGCAGCAGAAGCTAGAGAGCGCTGTCCTTAGCCTGGATCTTTTTTATCCTTTTAATTAATACAGAGGTAGTCCCAACGATGTGGGTGCCATATTCTAACCATGTGACCACAGCACTTCAGCAGATGCTCTGGTATCTTTGGTACCAAGTAGTTTCAATGTCTCCTATGCAACCTGTAGCTCCCTTCAAGCCCCAACATCTGTTTTCTTCTTTGAAAAGAAAAAAAAAGCAACAGCATGAAGAGGTTTGCAACCATCTTTTGGCCAGATGTGAAGCTCAAGCAGGGTAAGGGTCAGTATATGAAGCTGAGAGTTACAAAAAAATGAAAAAAAAATCAACGGGTTACCATATTACAGAATCGTAATTGAAAATCATAATTCAGCCAACACTGCAGTCTGTAGGAAATCCTGGGACTGAGGTGGCAAGAATATCAGTTTCACCTCAGAGCAACAAAAGTTAGTTCTAATTACTTCTTTTGCTTTGCTGACAAAGCATTTTACATTGTCTGCCAGCACCTAACCACAGCAGGAGGAAGTTATAAGCAGGTTTAAACTTGCCTTTGTACATCAACACTAGAAATTATGGATACATTCTACAATATTTTTATATTATTTAATTACAAGTACTAGAAGTTTTATAATAAGGGAGCTCATTCACCTCTTAGGAAGCGAAAGCTCTGAGAAGCACATATATGACTGGACCAAGTTTAATATCCTGCCTCCAGCAATAGTCACTATTTAATGCGTCAGTGGAATGCAACGGGATGAGAGATCCAGCCACTACCACTGCAGATACATGGAACTGCTTCCTCATCCTTGCAGTCAATTCCCCTTAAGCATAAGGCTGAAATGTTGCTACACAACAGTGCACAGCCTCTTATAAATTCATTTGACTTGCTCTCCTGAGGCAAAAAGTTTCATATTAGTTTACTGCAGAAGAAATCCACAACAAAACACATTTCCCAAAACTATAGACACAGACCCTTCAAAATCACAGCCCTTTCAGTCTTTATGATATTCTGGACAATAAACAGCAGCAAAACCATGCCAATTGTCTAGCAGCATGCTGCACTACACAGAGCTCCATGCGTACAAGTACTCCCCACAAAGTGGAAATAGCTGAAGAGAAGTTACTGAGGTCTTCTTGCTGTTTTTTAGTGGTATTTTCATTTCTATCACCAATAGTGATTACATTACGAGGGAGGTGCAGTGCATCTTCTGATCCTGTAAGGAATTAGGAAATGCCTTTATACTTGGACAGGTGTGCACGGAGGGAATGGCAATGGAGCTACAAATGGAATTGCAGCATCAAGTTACTCATCCTAAAGCTGAAGAGTCTGTCTTGACTGCTCAGTTGTCACAAAGCACCCAGCACAATACTGCCTACACTCACAGCTGTACAACCCGTACCAGCCTGCTTCTGGGGAACTCCCCAAAGCAACACAGCCTCTTGCTGACACTGCGCCTGACTTCAAATGTAGTAACTAAGGTATTCAGCAGCCGGAACAAGTAAGAAAAAGTGATCAAAAACCTGTGCAGGTCTGAAAACACTTGTGTAATAATCAGTTACTGATCAAACAGATTCTCCCCAATTCTGAGTTAATGATTCCCAGAACAGTACCTGGATTCTCATCAGAAAGAATCCAACTCTTGAGAGGAATGCACAGGGAGCACTGGTCCCTGATGCAGCTGTCTTGAGTCTGAACTGGTGCCACATTTCCTATGGCCAGAAAACAAAAGCAGGGGGAGTGATGTGCAATCCCAACAGGTACAAATTGCACACTGCAGTTACAGCTGCTCAGTCTACCCCCTGCAAGTGCACAGGGACATACAAATGGTTGCTTACTGCCTGTTGACTGAGAAATAGCTGCTTTCAGTTGAGAAACCAAGAATTTTTACATGATGGCAGTGTCCTTGTCTTTGACAAGTCCTCAGATCAAACCTCCTTTTCCTAGAAGGCTCTGCCCAAACTGCCTTCTTTAAAGGCACATCAGCTTTTTCAGGATCTCACTTTCAAGTTCCCCTAGCATAAATGTTGCTTCTGCACATACTCAGAAGTTACAGGGATTTGAGATAACTTCATAACTTCATGTCCAGGCTTCCCCAGGAAACAGAAACTTGGTGTTCTTCCAAGGTGTCTAAGAACAAACAGAACCATAGTACAGGTGCAGAGCATGTTGAGAAGAAGGGATGGAAAAGGTTGGGCCAGGCCCAAACCCACGAGTGATTATTCATGTACCTGAAGGCTGGTAAATACAGTATAGGAATTTGCAAACTACCTGTGCACACTCTCTTTGGCATTATTTTTTATACAGTGAAATTGTGTCTACCTAAGTAAACGAATTAGAGTGCTCTCTGCTAAGCTATAACTTAAAGAGGCAGCAATTACTGAACAACAGATGCAGGTCCCCAGCATCATGGTGAATCTTTTAGCTGTTGAGCTACCGTGTAAATTAATATGAAACCCATTCAGCAGCAGATCTTTACAAGAAATATGTTTTAAGAAGAGTGACCTACACTCTGTTCTTGAAAGTTTATGTGCCTGCTTTCAGTCACAGGCACTGGACTGTGACCCTGGAGATAGGGAGCTTCAATAGCCAACAGCTGAGCTGTGGTACCATGCTGAAGGGTAACCACCCAGGCATTGACAATTACAACATTTAACTCTCAAGCATCCAACCTCTAATTGCTTTGCTTCATATTTCACTATGAGAACATAAGTTAGGGACTAATCCTGAAACTTTACTCAGTAGCAAAAGATCTGTGGTCCTTAATAACCACAGCCTATACTTACCACAAGAAACAATGTATTTCTGCTCAAAGTAAATCAATCATTGGAAGGACAGCCTATTTTTCAGCCACCTCAACTGTGCTAGGAAAGCCTCCCTCCTCCCTACAGTACACTACTGGACCTCTGCATCAGTAAATAAGCTCTGTAATTTTGCTTTGTCTTCAAACACAATGGGATTCTGATCAATTCTAAGCCACTAGAAGGAAATGTTTGAGAAACAAAGCAGATGTATTAAATAATAGCATCTCCAGGGGAGTGATAGTCTGGCCTGTTCATTTTCCAAATTCTTTTTCTGAACATTAATCCCTCTCCCATTCAATAAAAGGCCATTGGATTCTTTTATCTTACAGCCACCTTAAAGTAAACTCTCCTAACACCCTTAATTACATCTTTAAAACATTCAGTTTGTGTATCACAGCTGATGTAACCTCAAGATTACAATTTAAATATTTAGTCCAAACTTTCCTATGAAGAAATAGACTTTCTGCTGCTCAGTGTTTGCTTTAACTGAGGAAGCATCAGCACTTGGAATCAGAGTGGCACAGTGTTTAGTTTTAGCCTATACACTTTCTTTCAAAATTGTTCCCTGCCATTATGACTTCAAATGCGGAGGAAATGAAGTGAAAGTGTCAACAATGAGACTGCCAAGGGGATGGTCAAAAGGAATGGCTACAACAATTTACATGGCTAAATAAATATAGGCTAAACGTCAAGTCAAGGGTAAAGATACAAATTCATACTGCCTCTGGC